CTATTTTTTATTTGGTACTACGACTGGCTGATTTCTTTTGCCTATTCAGCTCATGGAGTGGCCAGCGGCCTGGCGTTGGCTTTTGTCGACTTTTCGCATTTTTTCTCACAAAAGAATTTCTTCGATTTTTATCTTGGCATCTGCCGCGACGATCGAGCCGCAAATTTTTGAATTGGCCCAGAGGCAATTGCAGCTGCCGATTGAATTAATTTATGGGCTTTCTTTAACTTGGGCACTGGGATCTCTGAATTTGGGCTATATGTTTCACATATTCCATTTCTGCTTCTGAACTCTTTAGTTTTTGGGTTAATTATCGAACTGTGGCTGCTGCTGCTGCTGTGACTGCTGCTGGCATAACTGTTTGGCTTTTGGCCCGATTCGAGCACGCATTAGTTGTGACAGCTAATAAGCAGCAAATAATTGGCCAAAATCGGAAATTACACTAAATAAACACAAACAGCTAGAGCAACAACAACAACAACAAACTGCCTGTGGATGTGGATGTAGATTTTGACACCTTGACCGCATTGGCGCATTGAATTACAACCAATTGGCTGTGACTCTGGCCTTATTGGCCATTATGTACGCGCGCTGGCTCTTAAATCGGAATTATATTTTCTAACATTTAAGTGGCATGCCGAATGCCAAAAGGGTTTCTTTTTACGAGCCAACCATTAAACGGATTGGGGCGTCGTTCATAAAAAGTCTGTAGAGGAAACGCGTAAAAGCTGTGAGCTGGATAGAATTCGCGATCCTCTCGGGTAATAAAATCGGTTTGTGGCTAATGGCCAGTGCATTAACACTTTCGGCCAAATGCAAATTGGCCAGCTATTGGCCATTAACGGGCAATTGCTAGACTGCATTGCCAATAACTGGCATTACGTATACGACAGGTCGACAGTGCGAGGGTAAGCATGGAATCTGTGCCGCTTCGCTTTTAGTCGCCGTCGTGGCCCATTAGCCAGCGGCCTGCACACTTTTTCTTTCTATCGCCAGCCACTTTCTTTGGCTATTGAACTTAAAAGCATCTGCAGCAGTCGCAGCCACAAACCAGATCGCCGCCCGAAACAAGCAACAAGGCGGTCGCAGTAGCAGCAGCAGCAACAGCAGCAGCAGCAGCAGCGACAACAATTTGGGTTAGAGAAATTTGCGCCCCGCGACACACTTATGGCCACGAGAGTCAAGTTCTTGTGGCAGGTAAATACCAGTAAATAGCCGTGTGCATGGTTCTATGCCACGCTTTAACCTTGGCGTTTGGGCGTAATGCGCGGCAAGTGTCACTCCATGAATAACTTGTAATGTGCTTAGTTGCGCTTACTTTCTTTACACAGTAGCAGTAGCAGCAGCAGCAGCAGCAGCAGCAACGTACGACAGCAGTAGCAGCTGCTGCAAAAACAACAACTAGAATGGCCAACAACAATGCTAATGCTGCACATAAACCGATTTACTCAATTATAGTTAAAAATGGCAAGGGAAAAATATCACAAAAATAACGACTTGGCCAACGCTTTGGCTTTGGCTTTGTGCTCGCCTCAAGTGCTGCCCAGTTGTGGGTGCCATAAAGGCAAGAAAAACAAATAGATATATCAAATTGATATAGTCGCAGCCAAGGTAATCAGTCCGTTGCCAAATATATTCATTCAATAGCCAGCCAGCGGCCGTCATCATTTAATTTGGCAACTGTTATCGCCAGAGACAATTGATTTGTGGGCCGAGCAGAGTCGAGCGCTTGAGCGTGCATTTGGCTAATTGGTGTGGCTGATAGAGACGTATGGCGGGTGGCTGGAGATTGGGGCTGCAACTTTTCAGTCAATTAGCGCAGCATTTGATTTGCATAATGCGGCCTCTAATTTCACTCTGTACCGGTTAACGGCAAAAGACAATGCCCAACTCCAGAGTCTTCAGAGGAGAGTCTGTCATTATATAATTTGTCAGATTCCCAGACTCCGACCTCACCTCTGGCTCCTTTGGGCGCTGATGTCAGCTGCGATGCCCTCATCATAACTTAAAATAGTCGCTGAGCGACAGTTAATTATGAATTTTAAAGTATATTCTTCATCTTTTTTTAGCTCTTTTTTTTTTTTTTTTTGTTCTTTGTGGCTAGATAAACCACCAGAAGGGTTGGCTTCTTCGCAGTTGCCTTTTAATCTTTCTTTCTAGCAAAAATTAAAATAAAATTTACATAGAGTCAAAGAACCTAACGAAAAAAAATCCACACACAACACACAAGAAAAAGGCAGAGGAATGAAAGAAAGATGAAAAACCCAACAAAATAATTTTAATGTGTTGCGTTCTGGCGGCCTCGACTGCAATCACTTTTAATTGTTATGATAATTCTGCGAGGAAGCTTGGCCAGCTCACAAAAGAAAGGCAGCGGCCCAGTGAATCAAGAAACTAACTCAACCTTGGCACGAAATCTGAAGAGAGACGACCACACAGATACATTTGTATTTGTATGTAAGCGCTATTAAAAGTACTCCGAAATGGTCATTGGCATTGGTAGCACCGCCAGCTGGTTCATCAAACTGTTGAGCGGCACGTGTGGCAGCAGATCAAGCATACGCAATGTGTGTCTCTGTTTGACTATGAGCCGCAAAAGCCACAGGCAGCAATTCGTTTGCCAAAACAGAAAACGGGAGGAAAAAAAGCTATCTAAGCCACATTACATGGCTTTTAATTAAAATGCTGCAGCAGCAGCTGCGTTTGCTGCGCTCTGTGGCTAGCCACAAGATGTGGATGGTTTGGCCCGTGGCTCTTGTTACAGAGTTCTGCTATTTGCCATGTTGCGATTCAATCATTTTCTTCTTCTATTTTTTGTTCCTTTTCGTTGGCTCATCAATAAATCTGCTGCTGCAGAGAAACTCCATTCGAGCCAAGGAAAATGTTGTCTATAAATCACATAGTTGCTGTGCGACATGGCCAAGGGACAGTTTTGGCTAAAGTGCAGCAACAGCAGCAGCAACATGAAAAAACAACCCCAAACACCTGCTGCTGGCCCTGGCCCTGGCCCTGGCCATGGCCCTAACCCTGACGGCTGTCCTTGCTGGCTGGCGAGCTGCCAGCTGCCAATGAAATATCTGGCCAAAAGCAAATAATGCTTAAAATCATTTCGATTTCCGGACAGGCTGTTGGCCATATTAAATGGGCGGAGTGGGGAGTGGAGGGCATAGGATGCCAGTTACTATGCACACATATTGCGGCATTTTATTTGCATTTTTTGCTTCTTCTTCTTCTTCTTTTTTATTGCTGAAGCAACGAAAGCCCTTTTCCCAACTATAAATAAACCATATTTGGCTTTTATTTCAGTTGGCACTCTTCTAATATTTTCCTCTTCTTTTTTTCGGTTCGGCTTCGGCTTTGCCATAGTTTTTGTATTATTTATGGGCAACTAAAAGCTTTTACAAGCGCACAATTTTAGTTTTTACGTGCCTGACAGAAGTTGCTGCAGCACAGTGTAGACCATGCAGGACGAACTTGTGGCATGGGCATAAATTCTAATTAGAAGTTGCACTACAACTTTTGGGCCAGGACACACGGGGCTGCCGCTGCCGTAGCCATTGCCATAGCCTGGGGCAAGTGGCCAGTAAATGGCCTTTCCACATAAATTAAATAGCCAGGAAAAACTATTTCTCACAAAGGGCCCGAGGCGGGGCGTCAACAGGGGCGGGCCGTAATGAGGGGCGGCCAATGGTTGGCGCTGTGCAACGGCTCGCGGCGCCTCGCCAATTGTGAATGAATGAATGAGCGAGTAAATGAATGAATGTTTGCAATTTGCGCCAACAGCTGCAGCCGCCGTCCCCGCCAACTTTTAGCCATTTTTTATGAATGAATAACTTTGAGCATTAACTGCCTGTAAACCCTGGTCTGGCTAACTGGCTGCTTGGCTGGCCGACTGGCTGGTCGTTTAAACGCTTCGTTGGCTCTGGTTTAATTTTTGTAAAACAATAAATTTGTATTAATTGTTTGCCATAGCGACGTAATTGAAATGCGCCGCAGGTTCTTGACTGCTCCGCCGAGCTGCGCTTAAGTGAAACCCACCGAATCGTGGAGCCTTAACGGGCTGTGCCCTACAACGAATTGCCCACAGCAGCCGAGGCATCTTGAGAAAACTAGTTAAGCTAATGAATAATTAGCGGAACTAGTTTCGAGAATTGTGCGACATTTGCACAAGTGCAAATCTAATTGCAGTAAATGGCAAAAAATATATATATTTGAATATAAATATTTAATAATATTTTAAATAGGCATGATTGTTGTGCTGGGCATCTGAACATTAGTCATATAGCCATACAAAGCCGGAACAGACATTTCAATTAATGCAAATTTTATGCTAAATCCAATGCTCAACAATTTAAATTCACAATAATTTTTGTATTTGAATTACGCAATTTAAAAAAAAAAAATTTTTTAATAAAATAATTTAAATTTTCCCCTTTTTCTAAATTTTGTTTTAAATTCTTATTTTTTTGGCAGCTTGAGAGCAAGGAACTATAATAAATAATTTAAATTTTATACAATTTAAATCAAATTAAAAACTTTCTCCAGAATATTCCCTGAAATTATTTATTCATACACACATGAATAAAATTAAAAATTTAGAAATCTAGAATATATTTTGGAGAAAATTTGCAAATTGATTTTTATTTTATAAAAAAATGAAATATATTCAGCGTTCTTTGTTTTAAAGTAAAAAAAAAACACACTCACACATACATTTAAAATATTATAAATTATATTTTTTATGGTAATATTTATTCCAGCACGAATTTTTAATTTTTGACTACAAACTTTCTTTCAACAAAGTATAAAAACTTTGATAAATATTTTTAGCATTTTTAACTTTTGTGAAAAGTGTACAAAAAACTAAAACTTCCAGGAATATTTTAAAAATATTTCGCAAAACACACAAAAGCTTTTTTTTATAGGTATTCCAAATGCAGAATGACTTTTTGAAAATGTTCTTAAGCTTTAAAATTCTCAGAAGGACACTTGAAACTCACCTTTTTCACTCAAGAAACTCAACGAATTAATTTTTGTAAAGAACTTTTGAAAATTATTGTTCAACACTTTGCCACTTGTACTGCAGTTTATATTTTTGATTTTGTTTGTTATTTGAGTTAAGATTCGTTTTTGCACTTTGTTGCACAGTTTTAGATCCTTTTATTCCTTTTGACGAATGATGCTTAACATTTCGCGCACTGATTCGACAGTCTAAGTTAGTTTATTTATTAGAAACTTTTATTTTAGTATTTTAAATCACCGATTGGTGTTTGCTTTTTTATTTCAGCAATTGCTGCGTTAAAATAATCCACTGTGTCAATAGTTCGTTAGCTTCTGATGGAGCAAAACTGTCGAGAAATCGGACAATTTTGAATGAAGCTGCTGCAGACGACAGCGAGACCAACTCGGGTTCTAGGTTGGTCGGTTCGCTGGTGGCTGGTGGCTTGTTGCTGGGCTGATGTTGGCTTGCTCGCTGGCGGCTGGCTTGGTTGGCTGTTGGGGCACCACCAAGATACAACCGCTTCATAAAATTCAAAGAGACTCGGACCCAATAGCTTCTCAGCGCTTATTTATATAACCTACGTCGAGCGGCTTTTGGTGAAAATCAAACGAAACGAACGAACCAACATCGCGACAGCGACAACCACAGCAGCGGCAGCGGCAGCAACAGCAACGGCAGCGACAGCGACGCCAACTGAAGCAGCGCAGCAGCAGAGTCGAACGAACATGCCAAGTGAAGCCGGGCCGGGGCCAAACCAAACGCTGAGAGCGACACTCGCCAAGCGCTGAGAGCGCAAAAGAACTTCACACACATACACAGGCAGCAGCAGCGACGCCGACAGCGGCAGCGACACGTGAACGCAAACACACAAGAGCACACACGCACACACACGCACACACACAGCCACAGCCAGAGACGTCGACACCAGCAAACACACTCAAATGCTCAGTGACGGCAACAAAGTTGCTCATCATTTGGATCTCGCACGCTGACGCCGACGCGACGGCAGCGAACAGCCAACGGCGAACAGTGGCGAAAATAAAATGAATGAAATATTAAATCAAAACGGAATTATTAAATGTGAGCATGTTGTAAATAATAAAAAAGGAAATGAATAACAAAGGGAAAATGTAACTAAATAAAATAAAAAACTGAAAAAGAATATTGATTGCATAAATAATATATATACATAGATAAACGAAAGACTTGAGACTTGATTATATTAGTAAGCAAAATAAAATTATGCATATATAATATGTATATCTATGTTTTTTATAAAACTCATTTGATAAATCGAATTGAACGCTGCTCTAAGAACCTTGAGTTGCACTCAGCGCATGGGCCCACTGTGCGTTGGCGCTGCTGGCACGCTGTGGTCAATGAATAAGTGCTGGTTGGCATTAATGCATTGCAAGAATTCCCCACGCTTAGGCACAGAAATTTCGCAGAAGCAGCGCCAGCAAGTTGGCAGCCCCGACACGACGCCGACAGCGCTGCGGCAGCGATGTCGAGACTCAGAGAGCGCAAGCCGGCTTTGCGGGCAGAGACTGAGACAGAGACTGAGACGTAGACTGAGGCCGAGACTGAGACCGAGACCGAGACTGAAACCGAAACGAAGACCGAGACTGAGATGGAGACTGAGACTGAGACTGAGACGCAACCATGTAACTTTGGCCAACAACTTGCGGCTCTCGCGATGCTCTTTGGCCAATGCTCGCTCGTGTTGGCGGCGGCGGCGGCGTCAAGTTCTTGGCCATGGCCAAGACGAAGAATTCGCACTGCTGCGGCTGCTGCTACTCATGATGATGTTGATTGATATGGAGATGATGATGATGGTATGCTGATGCTGATGCTGATGCTGAGCTGATGCTGCGCTCTGGCACTGGCTGCAGATTCTTAAGTCAGTCAGTCAGTTGGCCATCAAGCGGCGCTTTGCGGTTTTTGCCTCGACCTGCTGCAGACTACAAATGTACACACATATACATACATGCATACATATATGAATAAGTGTATGTATGTATGTGTGCTTATAATTTGCCTCTTCTTGTACAGGTGTTGGCCAGCGCCGTTTCTAATTAAGCAGCACTCTTTGCTGGCTGATTTGGACACGGGCAGCGCACGCACTGGACGACAAATGTGGTTGGAGAAGAGCAACCGGTTCTAAAGCCCACGTCTTGGCCAGCACTTTTTGGGGTGTACTATTGTTTGTGGCCTGAGGCTGATTATTGACCTTTCTTATTGCTAGTAAACAGCCTAAACTGCCAGACGAGCGGACGGACAGACGGGCAAAATACCAGGCAACTGCCAGGCAGCCAGGCGGTCCAGCTTTGTATTTTTTCATTATTTTTTTTTATATACCACGCGGATTCTGCTTAATTGTTTGCGAAATTCTTTTAGCCGCCTTTTGTTTGATTTAATTAATTATTTAATTACGCTTGAAGTTGGCAATTTTGCCGGGTTTTTGCACTTGTCTAGTTGGCTTTGACTTTGTCCGACCACACACACTCACACACACATGCACACACACGCATACACTCTCACATTCATACATGAAACGAAGAAGTCGCGCGCGCGCGCTCCACACCTCACACCGGCTGCCCGTTAGCTTGGCGACGGCGTGGCAGGAACAAAGCAACTTGCCACAGAGTACGCGACTTACAACTACATAGAATTGAGCTCCGGCCACAAGAAAAGCACGTTCGTTGCACGACGCGCACGCTTCGCTAATGAACTGAACATTTCCGCTTTGCCGGCATCCTTTGGCCCGCTGGCCCGTTGGCCCGTTAGCTGGTCTGCTGCTCTTTGGTCCTTTCGCTCGTCCGTGCGGTGGAGGCTGCAGCCGCATTGCGCCGGCGCGCGTCAAACATTTGAGCGTGAAATTTGTCGCAGTCTAACATAAAGAAATTCAAATAAAATGAATTTAGCCACCCGCTCCCAGTCTGCCAGCCGAGACACACACTCACACACACACACAAACACACATACACATACACACACCCACACACAGTCCAGCATCTCAGTCCAATGCCAAAAGTCTAGTGATTGCCGGCTACGTGTTGCCGGCATTTGTCGCTTGTCGTTTTTGTATTGTGTGTACAGTGGGTGTGTATGTGTGTGTGTGTGTGTGTCGTTGTGTGTCTGTTCTGTGTGTGTTCTTCTGGTCTCGTTGTCGCTGGCAATATTTTTTTGGCATTTTCGCTTTATACGTGCAAATTTAATGGCAACAATTGGTGCGAAATGCCGGACATGCAAAGAGGGCACTGAATGAACGACATCAGCAACAGCAACAGCAGCAACAGCAACAGCAACAGCAGCAGCAGGACGCGGGTCAGCCGAGTAGTGGTTGGGTGGTTTATGCATTGTTGGCTTAGTGCATTTGTAAAGCGTGCGTTTGTGTGTGTGTGTGTTATTTTTTTATCATTTCTGTTCTGTTCAATTCTTTTCTGTTGAATTGAGCTGCTGCGATTGCTGCCGCTGAAACAGGGTCCAATTGTTGAGTGCAATCCAAAGTAAGAAAAGCACTCAACAGCTGAGGAGAGCACTTCGAACTTGGCCGATTGATAAACTAGTTGGCAATAACGAATTGCCACAAGGTGTTCAATTGAATGCAATTTTGTTCTGCATGCTAGAAATCTTAAATTACGTTACCAGCACAAGGAAGCGAGCTTATCAAATATACATATAGAACAAAATAAATATCTGTATGTACATGGGTTTTAGTTCCTATGTGAATCTCATTCTCTTCTCATTTTCTTACCTTGATTTTCTTACTTTAATTTAACCTTTTGTCCTAGTTGAAGTATTTTCCAACTCTAGACTTTATAGTCTCACGAAATGGCAATTCAATTTAAAGCACATGCAGCTGCCCAGATGAGAGACGAATTTAAGTTCTTCAGGTTTAAATGGGACTATCCTTAGTGTTGACGAAGTGTTAGTGCACAACGTTTATAGCGTTGCTTTCCATCGATAAAGTGGCATACGAGCTAACAGTTAATTTAAGGCTAACAAAAATTTACAATTGCTAACAACTACTCTCTGTATGTGTGCGTGTGTGTGTGTGTGTGTTTGTTTGTGTGTTTTATTAACCATTTGAAGAGAAGCGAAATCACTTGCACAGTTATCCATCTGATTGAATACTCAAATTTTGCACACTGCCTGTCCCTGTATGGTCATCATCATCATCATCATCATCATCATCAGTATCAGTATCAACATCATCATCATCGCCAACTGTAAAGCACTCTCATGGCCATCCATCGCAACCAACTGGCCAACTAACCAGACAAGCGCCTGACCAGCCAAATAAATAGCCAACTACATTCGTCCGAGCTTCACTGTAAAATGCCAAGCGACAATATTTCGCAGGCAATGCCACTCGTAGCTCGAGTGATTTTCATTGTGTGATGTGACAGGTGTCACCGCGTGTCGTCGGTGGGTGGACGTGGAAAACGGACGTGAACGAACAGGAGGATGTGCCGGAGATGTGCTGGGCGGGGAGAGCACGAGCAGATAGCGAAGCGTTTGTGTGGTAGCGACTGTGGCGTGTGGCAATGTCAGGCAATGAGCGCTTCGAGTCGCGCCGGCCAAGAGCAGGCATCAAGCATCATGACCAATTAGCCTTGTTAGTGAGATAAACTATGGGGTACGGCAATGGGCCAGCTATATGCTACTAACGGTATCTGTCAGGTAATGCCCTCCCTCTGTAGCTCTCTTTGTGTCTCTCACTCTCTCTCTCTCTCTCTCTCTGTCTCTCTCTCTCTCTCGCTCTGTCGCTGCCAATGACACGGACAGTCGACGCACGCCTGAGTTCAATTGATTTAACATGAAAGTGTAGCTTGCTAAATTGATTTTTGTGAAAATTCTCAACTTTTCGCATAAGAGAAGTTGCCAACGACAACGACAACGAGAATAGAGAATCGAGAATTCGTGGAACGGGAACAATAACAACAAGGCAGTCATCAATGTTTTATGCTGTTGCCAAGTGGCAAAGTCTGGGGGCATGCGATGTGTATATATGTATGTAGACAGCTAGTATCTACATATATATGGTATGTATATATAGACTTTATATCTATCTGTAGCTGACCGTAACGAATTGCTGTACTATCTATCTGTTCTTCTTGCTGCTGATTTGCCCAAAAAGTATCTCCAGCACAGTTGCCGCTTTGCAACCCTCGAAATACAACAAAAAAATAAACTGCGAGGGTGATGACTGATGATGCTCTGGGTAAATGTGTGTCCATATCAGCGACTCCGTCGACATTTTCCTTGGCAGCATCAATGCGTCGCCTGCAGCTTTTCGTGCACTTTCTCGAACAGCGAAAAGTTATCCACTCTGCGGACGTTTGAAAAGTTAATTTGCACGGGAAACCGTCGAAACTGGGAGCCACTGTGTGCCCTCCCCCTGCAAATTAAATAATAGGCTTATGGTGGCTTAGTGTTGCAATTGTTGTTGCTGTTGTTGATGTTGTTGCTGGTGTTGTTACAGCACGTTTAGCATGCCATAAAGGCAAATTTTTTTGTAATATTTATTGCCAGGCCATTCATG